TGATGGTGGGTTCATCAGCGTATTTAATTATCAAGTTAGAGTCAGAGGAAGACACACAATCATGGGTGTACAATGTAAAAAGCAAAGGACTCAATATACATCCCTGAAAAGATCGGGTGCTCACAGAAACAACATCTGAAAAACAGTCATTGATTTTTACTCTCTGAAATCTCTCAGTTAAAAAACTAAAAATCCGCTTACACATTGCAACACAGAGAGACATGAGTTTTTCAATCAGTCTACCTGGGACAAGGCAATTAAAAACAGAGCTATAATCAATGAACACCATTCTCGCTACAGGTTTACTATTGTCCAAGTGACTGTAGACAGAGTTCAAAGAAAAGGAGATTGCATCCTCAACGATCCTATTCTGTCTGTAGGCAAAGTGGTGTGGGTCAACACTCACAGGGATCTGGCTCTTAATGAAGTCCAACACGAGCCGCTCAAAAGTCTTCATAAGAACAGACGTGAGGGCCACAGGACAATAGTCATTAAGGCCCCAACTCCACCGGGCGCGTAAAACGGACGACGGATCCGTCCAAACATGTCCGTTTCATCTCCGTCTCCGTTATCTCCATGAGGGTGAATGGAAGTGGCTCCACTTCCTCCAACATCCGTCGGAATCGGATTCCGTCAACGGAGGGTGCAACGGACGCGCACGGACGAAATAGAAACAATCCTATTTGTTCCATCCGTCAACGCGTGTCGGGTTTTCCATTGAAAATACAATGGAATAATATATTTACCACATTATTAAACATGTATTGATATATGCTGTAGTCCTTGCTTATAAGTATTTGTTAATGACAATGATTATTAACAAACGTGTGTAATTTTTTTCATGTATTAATTTAAATAATTGTTTCCTGACCATTTATTTTTCGCGTAATGTTAATACGTTAATCTTTACATACACCTCGCTCTTTTTTCTCTCGCTCTGTCCCGTCTACCTGCGAGGCGCTCTCTCCTCACCGCACACACACATTACACACAGAGCTATACTGCACTCATGAGAGACAGATCTCACAACAACACTGGATATGTTAGAGTTCTTTTCTCCTTTCTCTCTCCCCTTTTTCCAATCCATCCTTGCCTCATCCATCGCGACGTCCTCGATGCTTCAGTTTGCTGTGCTTTGCATAGATCATAGCCACAGCTCATACAAATCACACACCGCTTCTTCTATTTAAAACTATAGTGGCTGCCTGTTGCCTAAAGCCGCGGAGAGGCGAGTTGGGTCCGATAAAAGTGTATGACGCGCTAAATAAGTATAGAAAACAAACAAAGAGGCTGGATCATAATAAACGCTGCGGTCACAGGCCCAAACACACACACACAGGCGCTCTCACGCACACGCACACGCTCACGCACACATGCACGCCGACAATACATGACTCCTGACTCCTCCATCAGCCAAACATTCATTTATTCACACAATGTCCAAACGTGTCTCCTACAAAAACAAAGCAGGCTGATAAACGCACGGCCAGAGCTGCGCGCTGCTGCAGCCGGTTTGGCCACTAGTCCGTTTTACGGACGTCCGACGGACAGCAGCCAACGCGCGTCAACGGAGACGCGCCCGGTTGAGTCCAGGCCTAAGGCATGTCACAGGAGTTTTCTTAGGAACTGGGATAATGGTCAACTCTCAGTGCTTCATCTGAGACACAGTTTCCAATCTCCACAAAAGTACTTACTGTCTTCAAGGTAAGACCTAAATCACCAAGTCCTCTAGTCTCTGTAAGAGGATCTCATGGTCGACAGTATCAAAGGCTCCACTCAGATCAAACAACAGTTCGCCTGTGTTTTCATTCATGTGTCTTCTTCTAACAATTGCAGATTCAGCTGGTGGTTTGGTAGAACAACACATGTCAAAAAATACACAAAACTGATCTAACAGAGCAACATAGACCACATTTACATTTGAAATATTAACCCCCTTAGTCATCAGCAGGTCTAGAATGTGCCCTCTGCTGTGGGTGGAGCCACTCACATGCTGAGTGAGACCAAAGGATTCAAGAACAGAACTCAGCTCTTTTGCTTTTCTGTCATGTTACCATTAAAGAAAGCATACAACTAAAAGCAAAAAATTCCCAACAAAACTGTGACATGGCTGCGGTGCCTTGTATAGGACAATGAAGAGTATTGACAGGGATCCTTTTTGTTCTATTTTCAAAGACACATATTCAAATGACGAAAACTACCCAATAGTCATTCTATGGGAGACAATGTGATCTGCAGCTATGCCTCCCCCATTTTTGTGTTCTCACAAATTCAAATTTGAAATTTGGTGGTGATGCTTCTATGAAAATGGCAATTTCTGTATTTTGGTCAAGCCATGCTTCAGCCATACACATAAAATAAAGATTATAAGAACAATCAAAAATATAAATTAAAAAGATTAACATTAAACATAACAAGTTTCAAAGTTTCAATGATCGAATGATTCTGACACTGAACAATGATTAGATTCTCTAATCTAATTAGATTAGAATAGATGTCTAGATGTACTCCAGATGTCTTTCTGTACTATCATTCTGCTGGAAAAAACAAAATCCGAGTGAGTTTGTTTGTAACACTTTTCACTTTCTCACGTCCTCCTCGTTCAGTTTGTGGCTGTTGTATTTCTTCAGCAAAAATATATATAGCACAGAGCTGACACATAAGACTCTGAGGTGTTTCTTCTTCATGAATTCAAATTTAAAACATAAATTATGTGAATTACACACAGCCCCACGTGAGTGTCACTCACATGGGAGAAGCTCGGAATAGAGCCGCTGCTGATGAGGCTGGGGCATCTGTTTTTCTCTGCTGCAGCAGGAAAATCCCCAAGAGTAGCTTCAGCGTCACAGTCGGAGCTCTGTCATTTACACCTTCACACCCACAAACAGACACACACACACACACACCCACAGACACACACACACACACACAAACAGACACACACACACACACACACACAAACAGACACACACACACACACACACAATCTCTTTTGGAGATGCTTTCATTTTCACCACAGTTCACACTTTCCTCGAGTCCAGATTTTTGAGTCCTGAATAGAGTCAATGTCGCATATTATAAGATTAATCTCAAAATATTATGAGAATAAACTCAAAATATCTAGAGGGTTTTGTATTTTCATATACTTTTAAACCGATGACGCAATTTGATAATGTTGTTATTTGTTATAAACTGTTTGCGCTATCAAGTCTGAGTCGCAACGAAGAGTAAATCCATTGAGAGGTTTGACGAACTCTGGATGAGGAAGCGTTTATGCGCATTTGTGATTACATGTTATCTTTATTTTGACTAAAACTTGAATGTGAAAAGAATACTACTTTATTATCATATTTATACAAGAGTCTTATTACTAAAACGTTTTCTGATTTTATTCTCATAATATTTCGAGATTATATTCTCATAATATTTCAAGATTATTCTCATAATGTTTCAAGATTATTCTCCTAATATTTCAAGATTATTCTCATAATATTTCAAGATTATTCTCATAATATTTCAAGATTATTCTCATAATATTTCAAGATTAATTTAATACTTTTCAACTTTAAAGTCAAAATATTGCAACTTTAATCTCATAGTGTTTGGCAAAAAACAAAATGGGTGAGCTCTGTGCTCCGTCGTAGTACTGTAGTCTGCATACCAGTGCATCAGACAGGCTATGCTTCTACCACTACATACGAGTCTTTCTAGTCATCTCTTACTCAATTATACATGTTTATATTTATATTTTTGACTTCTTAAAGAGAATCAGGCCACACTATTGCTTGTCGGAGCAGGAGGCTGGTCAGATGTGGCGCTGTATAAAGCTTTGGTGATGTTTTGTCTCATCCTTTTCCATCTTTTGTCTTCTTCCTCTAACACACTCATCACGGCTGTCGGCTGTTGAACTGGGCGTTTGGACACAGAATGCTTGGACAGGGTTTTGGCTTTGTTCCTCCAGCTCCCACTGGGTTTTACAACCACAATCTGTGCACCATATTTACATCAGAGAGGGGAGGGGCCCCCCAGCCCAGAGAGGCAGATAGTGACTCACATGGCTCTTCCATACAAGTATTGACGCAACATGAACATTTGTACAGTGTCATTTCATGCTCTAGAAGTAAGTTCTCTGTGTAAGATGTCAGAGAAGCATGATTCAATTCATTTGCATATAGCCATAAATCACAACAGCAGTCGTCTCGGCGGATCAAAGAATGAAACAGTTTGAAAACAGGAAATGCAATAGTAACTAGCACTAGGAGCCAATGGTCCAAATTCGGGCTGACTGTCCAGAAATAGAACCTCCAGCATCGAGAACCACTCAGAACCCCAGAGGTTAAAAAGAGATACAGGGAAGCCCATAATGATGCTTCTCTTACGGACTGTAGATCCAGGACTGAGTCTGTAGATCTCAAATTGAGGCTGTAGATCCAGGACTGAGTCTGTAGATCCAGGACTGAGGCTGTAGTTCCAGGACTGAGGCTGTAGATCCAGGACTGAGGCTGTAGATCCAGGACTTAGGCTGTAGTTCCAGGACTGAGGCTGTCGATCCAGGACTGAGTCTGTAGATCCAGGACTGAAGCTGTAGTTCCAGGACTGAGGCTGTAGATCCAGGACTGAGGCTGTAGATCCAGGACTTAGGCTGTAGTTCCAGGACTGAGGCTGTCGATCCAGGACTGAGTCTGTAGTTCCAGGACTGAGGCTGTCGATCCAGGACTGAGTCTGTAGATCTCGAATTGAGGCTGTAGATCCAGGACTGAGGCTGTAGATCCAGGACTGAGGCTGTAGATCCAGGACTGAAGCTGTAGATCCAGGACTGAGGCTGTAGATCCAGGACTGAGTCTGTAGATCCAGGACTGAGGCTGTAGATCCAGGACTTAGGTCAAGAGTCTGAAACAGGTTTGAAAATCGCATTTAGCAAAAAGGGTTTGTGCCTAAAATGTGGATGTGTGTGTTTTTATTAGTGTGGGAACGTAACCTTTTGTTCACTTGTGTTCCAGGACGCTGCTTTGAACACGGGGTCTCCCTCGCCGCCATGAAGGGGCTTGGGGGGGTGAACCGCAACCGTCACCTGTCGGACTGTGACCCTGCCTCCTCGCCCGCGCACCAGTACCAGCTACAGCACCATGATGCACTGCTGTACCCGGCATCTCACCCCAGCAGCACGCTCCCTCGTGGCCCGTACCCCATCATGGACCGCTACCCGGACCAGCACACCCCGCTCCCCAACAGCAGCACATTCCCTGGCTCGCCCTACTCCGTGTACGACGGCTTCTCACCCCCGGACAGCCTCCAGTCTGCGCACCTGGGCTCCGCTTCCGTGGGGATGGGGATGTCCGGTCTGCGCGCACCGATCACCAGCGGGTCGGCCACCATCTCGCACCACTTCAGCCGGAGCGAAGCACCACAGAGCCTGATGGAGCTGGAGCGCAGCCTCCCCGTGGGCGCCAGGGACGGTTTCAGCACGCTGCAGTTTCACCGCAGTAACGCCAGCGCAGCCAAGCAGCGCGAGAGTCCAGGGAAGATCCGTTACATGCTACATTCCGTGAGCAAGCTGTTCAACAAGGCTCCTAACGCAGAGCCGCAACCAGGGAAGAGCGTGAACGGGAGAGCATCCGGGGGCTCGTCCAGCACCGAGGAGGTGGGCAAGCAGAGCAGGCGCGCCAAGAGCCGAGACCGCGGCAAAGAGAAGCAGCGCCCTCGCTCAAACATGTCCAATATGTCCAACATGTCCGGATACTGGAGCAACGACGACCTGGACAGCAGCGACCTAAGCAGCTACCACCACAACAGAGCCATGGGGGAGCTGCAGGGGGCGCTCCACGGGGGGCTCCAGGGCGGGCTCCAGACACTGCAGAGGTGAGGATTCAGTTAATATTGAGTGTCACTCACTGCTGAGTGCGTTTCCAAATTCTTCCAGCCTCCAGGCACCAGACCTGAGGACACTTTCAATAGTGTCTCGTAACTGTCCCTTATCACGCAAAACATACAATTTTATGTAAAACTGCTCTCTTTAAAACTGTCCAAATCCATACATTTCTGAGAGTTTACATGCGTCTTCATTAATCGGATTAAATCGGAGCAGGAGGAGGATTCACAAGGAACGCATTCCACCACAACCACAGCTTTCAGACACAAGCCACGTTTAGACCCTCCTGCAACGTAAAGGAACAAAAAATGTAAGAATTTAGAGAAGGATCCTCTCTTACGGACAGGCTGTAGGCTGTAGACTGTAGATCCAGGACTGAGGCTGTAGACCCAGGACTGAGGCTGTAGATCCAGGTCTCAGGCTCGGGCAGCACGGTGGCTGAGTGAATAGCACTCTCGCCTCTCAGCAAGAAGGTCCTGGGTTCAAATCCAGGCCGGAACAGGGCCTTTCTGAGTGGAGTTTGCATGTCCTCCCCACGTCTGCGTAGGTTTCCTCCGGGTACTCCGGTTTCCCCTACCACTAAAAACATGTACAATAGGTCTGGCATGCGCCTCCTGTACTGGCGACCCCGCTCCCATCTCTGTGTGGAGTGAGAGACAAATGCCCAAAAAATAACAATTGTAAACCGCTTTGTGAATCTGGTTTGTGAAAGGCGGTATATAAATAAAGATCACTTACTTACTTTCTTACAGGCTGTAGATCCAGGATTACGGTTGGGGTTAAGAAATCAACAGATGTTTACCCCAACCATAACCCTAACATTTGCATTGTTCCTAACTGAGTATATAGTGACACCTAAAGCTGGAGTACCTGTCTTTTCAATCTACAAACAAATTTAACTCTGTAATAAACCTCATGTTTCTAGTTCCTGGCTCCAAAACGTTTTGCTTCTTTCATTAGTTTTTGAAATAAAAATAATGTTTTTGGCCTTTGTCACATCTTTATATCAGCTTTTTCAAACAGAAAAGGGAAAAAGAGAGGACCATCCTCACTCAGCCAGTTCTCTCAGTCCAAAGAGTGAAATAGTTACTGACAGGGCTTCTGACAATCAAATTTTTGTGTGACTCTGTATAACTGATCAAATCACAGACTGTAACCTTTCCCTCTTCTGTCCCAGCCCTCAGCAGCGTGTCCTCCCTGGCGGGTACCACACAATCGGCCCATCCCGCAGTGCCGACATGTTCTCTGTGGGGGGTCAGAGTGGGACTCTGGGGGTCTCAGACCAGGACTATGTGAAGGGAGGCTCCTGGTGCACGCTGACCATGGGACAGCCACGTCACCTCCTCCAGCAGGGGGCACACACACTGGAGCGATCCGTGCTCAAGTCCAAGTCCTGCAACCAACAGCTGAGCACCAACTACCTGCAGGTCGCCAACACGGTGAGATTACTTATTTGAGTATTTGATTTACTTAATTACTTACATGATTGGTCAATGGTGCTATGCTAACACACTAACTAGCGATTACGGGTTCTTAAGGGGAGTTTAGACCGGACCATGCGTTGAGTCTAGTTTCAATGCTGTGTCAATGGTGACGCATGTCTATGCGAATATTCGCATTTGCGAAAACAGCCAGAACAGGAGCTAAACCAGGACTAAACCAGAATTAATTCAGGACTGACAATGGGAGACACAGTGCTTGTGAACATATGCCTCCAGCCTGTGTTCTCTTTCATCCGTGACTGTAAACAAGTGCTGCTGACGTGTTCGCCGATACTGAAGTACCGGTTGATAATATAATACATCCATGGCACAGCTCCGTGAACAGATACTCTTGTTATATGATGTCTCCGGAGGGTCTCGGGACACTGAGAAGCCGCGGATCTGGACTCCTGGACAAGAACTTCACACCAAAAGCCGATAGCTTAAACTCACTAGCCTCAAAACCCGGCCACATCATAGGGCAGTACGTCATATTTTCTGAACTCACACAGCTGAATATTTGTGAACGTGCGTCCAGTGCGCCGGCAGTCTGAACGTCCGTTTAGAGGTTACTCATTATCCTTTGTAGCAGCATGGTGGATTGTCCCCCTGCTTTTTAAAACTTGAGATACAAAAGAGAGACAAGAGAGAAAGACCCAGAAACCAGACAGAGAGCCAAAGACCAGAAAGAGAGCGACCAGAAAGAGACCAGAGTAACACGAGAACGAACTGATATACCATAGGAAGAACTTAAGGCTAATTTCACATACGTAAAATATCAACCCAATGAATCTGTCAATCTCTAAAGTTTGTTAAATAAAGGATGCAGCGAAAAACAGCTCCAGGTCTGTTTTTTGTGAGAGAAAGTGTTGTAATCACTTGTGAGGCACAATCACTGGACGGTAGGACTCACATTTGTCAGATCTTTTTCTGTTTTGGGAGAACTGAAATGGTGGCCTGGGTCATTGATGTGGGAGTTTCTTTGTTTGAGGGCTTCCCTGATAAACTAAGCATCATAAAGGATTTAATTTATTGCGAAAAGCCTTATAAAAATCGATCGGATACCATCGGGCCCGCCGCCTTCCTATTTTTCCATAGATTTAATAGCTTCCGATTTCAGTTATGATATTGGCGCCTCCAAGATTTGTTTGTCTCCTTCTGCTATAATTGGAATGTTATATTATCTAAAACTCATTATTACGCCAGATTATTGAGGTGACGAGTTGAGTAGAAGCTTTTGAATTGATCTTAAGGTCTTGTATCCACTTTAATTTCCCCATCGTAACGCCTGTATTCTTCCAATATAATTAGTTGCGAGTGTTGACGCAGCTGGTATGATAATAAACCGACCGCGCGCTCACCGTGTTCATAACAGTTATGTTTCGGATTTAGTTTTTATATCTGCGAGCATTCTTGAGGCCGGAAGGTCAAATTCTGTTTGTAATGCTTCCTTTGTTTTCGCAAATCCCTTTAGGTGTATACAGAGATGCTGCTGGTCGAACATCCTGATTAATTTGATCTACACTGTACATCTTTTGGTGCGTGCTTTATTAAGGACGGGCTGTTTATTCTATTATTTGACCCCTGATGTGACTTTCAGGGTTTCTCAAAGTGTTGAAAAGATTTGTATCTGGTAAATGATTTGTGTCAAGAAAAAAATCAATTTGTTTTGTGATCAAGTCTACGAACTTTTCATCAGATAGTAAGTATGTATTGAATCGCCAGTTACATTGATGGTGGTACTCTATTCTGCAGATTAAGTTCTAAAATAATGGGGCATGATCGAAATTACCAATACTTTTCATAATCCAGGTGACCTAGTCCGTGGGGTAAGTTTCGATCTTTTAGAAAATACTCAATTCTGAGAGTACGTCGGATGTACTGCCGAGACGAAAGAGAATACTTTGGAAGTCGGATTTTGAAAACGCCATGGGTCCAACAATCCCCGAGATTGACAAAATGTGTTTATGGTGTAGCAAGACTTTGATGGCGATGGTTGTTGTAATTAGATCAAACAATAGGTTTGGAGGGCAGTATTTAGATCCCCAGCGAATATGAGATGGTGATGTTGCCCAGTTTGGTATGTGCCCAGTTCTGGTATTCGCCAAGTAATTCCTTGAAAAACTTTTGACTCTTCCCAGTTGGGAGCATAGACGCTGATCAAGACCACTGTTTATTATACGCCTTCCATGTTCAATAATAAATCTCCATTTTTATCACTAATGACTTGTTATGGACAAATGCACCTTTGTTACCGATCAGCATTGCCTGTACCACAAAATTTTGTAATTTAGTTTCAGAATGGAAACTCTGAGATACATTACTCCTCTCAATTTTTGATATCTTTTGTGCGAGGTGTGTTTCCCGTAAGAAGATTACCTCTGCTTTCAATTATTGATGATGAGAAAACACCTTGCTCCTCTTCACTGGCCGTGATGAGTCCCCTCACGGTTCCGCTCACCAATCTAGTTGGTGGACTTATCATGTCACAGAAGCAGCGTCATTTTGCAGTATGTCTATGTGGACGTATCTATAAAGGCAGTTGCATCACATCCGCCTGCACCTATTAGAAAAAGGGAGAAGAGAGAAAAGGAGAAACAGATAAAGCCAAGAAAGAAAATAGCCACAGAAGTCTCCTTCCCCCAAAACAAACCCTTGCTGCTGGTCCCTCCAAAGTAAGAGATGCACCCCCCCACACCTCCCAAGGCCACTATGAAGCATCTAAACTAAGTAAGAACTATCCTAACCATTTCATAAAAGTGGCATGAGACCTACCTAAACCTTAAATTTATTGTAGTTGAATAATTGTCATTCGAACACCAACAGACCCAAGATACTCAACCTGTACCCTGTACAAAAATCGAACACCCAAATTTTCCCCATAAGACTCGATGCATATTAAAACAGCTCGACCTCAGCTGACAGAGAACCTACAGCTTTAATAAAGATAGGATTTTGTGGGGATTTTAGTGTCCCTTGTCATCCTGAACTTTTTTTCTTCTTAAATCCTTCGGTTTTGTTTAAATCCACACTTTAGTGCTAACTCTACTCCTCTGGCTCTCGCTCTAACTCCCGCTCTGATGAACTGCTCTGATTGGTCAGAGTGCGGCCGAGCCCCTCTGTGCACGTGCGTGAGACCCGGTGTGAGACCCACACACGCGTGTTAGACGCAACGCATTATGGGAGATCATCCACTGCGCAGAACCGGGAGGACCAGACGATGCCCAAATACAGGCCAGTTTCCCATAGATCTTTGCGAGTTTCCCAAAGTTCTTTGCGAGTTTCCCAAAGTTCTTTGCGAGTTTCAGGCAACTTCTGCTAATCTTTTCAGCCCCCATGCCGTCACAAAGCGCCATTGAGCACAACCATTCATTTGAATAGGGCGGCATCTTGAATCGCCGGGGCTTGGCACTGGGGCGGTTTGCAGCCAAGTGTGAAGCGGCTGGGATGAGAATCAGCACCTCCAAATCCGAGGCCATAGTGCTCGAATGGCAAACGGTAAACGGTGCCTTGCCCTCTCCGGGTGGGGAGGTCCTTCCTCAAGTGGAGGAGTTCTTGGGGTCTTGTTCACGAGTGAGGGAAGGATGGAGCGTGAGATTGACAGGCGGATCGGTGCAGCGTGCACAGTGATGCGGTCGCTGTATCGGACTGTTGTGGTGAAGAGGGAGGCGAGCCGAAAGCTCTCAATTTACCTTCAATCTTTGTTCCCTCCCTCACCTATGGTCATGAGCTGTGGGTAATGACCAAAAGGACACGAGCGGTCGAAATGAGTTTCCTCCACAGAGTGGCTGGGCGCTCCCTTAGAGATAGGGTGAGGAGCTCAGTCACACAGGAGGAGCTCGGAGTAGAGCCGCTGCTTCTCCACATTGAGAGGAACCAGTTGAGGTGGCTCGGTCATCTGTTCCGGATGCCTCCTGGACGCCTCCCTAGGAAGGTGTTCCGGGCAGGTCCCACTGGGAGGCAACAGGTTTTAGCCAAACCTGTTGCTGTCCTTAGCAGATAAACCAGGAAGAGCAAGGAGCTTATCGATGGAATTGTATGCAGCCGACTTCTGCGCTCACATGCGCTCCTCTGAGGCTGACCTCACGGTGATACAAGCCGTGGTTGAGCGCGATTAAGACCCATATTTGTTTCAAAAACACAATTTATGAGCCATCCTCTCAACTGTAGACATGTGGATTGTATAGGAAATATGATTTACATCAGCCAATAATTGCTGAGAGGTTTTCTCATCCTCCCTTCTCTCATGACAACACGTTCATTGTGCGTCTTGAGTAACGCGCAGTAACGGGATGTCGGAAATGATAACGGCGTTATAGTTACTGTCAAAGTAATTAGTTAGATTACTCGTTACTGAAAAAAGTAACGGCGTTAGTAACGCCCTTACTAGTAACGCCGTTATTCCCATCACTGGAAGTATGTTACAGTATCCTCAATAAAGCCAGTGCTGGAGCTCATCAAAGGTGAACTGTTAGCACCAAGTCCAGAAGACACTGACAAACAACAAAGATCAAGACCGACACGAGCAGGGTGTTGGTCGATAAATACTGCTCTCCTAAAATACAAAGCCTTCTAAGGAAGGCAACCGTTATGGATCCAAGACAGAGGCAGTTTGGAGGATTTAGAGGTATTGCATGACACCAAGGAAGAGCTTGTTGAGGAGCTTCTAAAGATGGAGGATGGAGATGCACAAGAAGCGGGTACTAGCAGTGCAGCTGCAGAAGTGGCGGAACAGAGGCCTTCAGGTGCTAAAAGAAAAACAATGAGTGATCTCCTACAAAGCAGGAGAGTTCAACGTGTGACACAAACGCAGGAGGCTGTGCCAGTGAGAGTACAAGCAAACCAGGAACTAATAAAATATCTGCAGGAAGAAGCACTAGATGCATCAACTGATCCATTGGTTTGGTGGCGTGATAACCAAAGAAGGTTTGCCTTAATCTCCAAGCTGGCAATAAAATACATGTGCATTTGTGCCA